GCCCAGGTAGGAGGAGAGAAGAGAGGGGCCAAAGGGAGGGTGGGGTTGTACAAGGGAGGGATGAAGCAGGGAAGAAAGAGCGAGGCCCGGCACGCAGACAGAAGGCGGCACGTAGCTGCAGGAAGGACGGAGGGGCGGAGGGCTTTAAAAAGGTAAGGAAGCCCAAGGGCGCCTATGCACGAAGGGGAGGGAAGGGGGAAGGGTGGGAGCGTGGGAGTGAAGGGGAGGGGGGAGGGGGAGGCAATATAGCATGGGTTTCTGTATGTAGAGGACCGGTGCGGCAGATGCGGAGTGTGGAGGCATGGAGCAGAGAAGAGACCCGAGGTGTCAAATACGGATCTTTACATGAACCGAGTAGCACCAGATCGGCGGCCCACGAGAGCGGAGCCAAGTCAATGGTGGAGGACCCCCGAATGAGAAGAGACGGTCAACAGCTGCTGGCTTGCATGATGTGTGCGGTGCGGCGCCGGGCTTGCTGGCTGCATCTCCAGCTGGACCACCCCCCTCTCCCACATCTTCCCACTTGGCACTTGTTCCGGCCCAGGAACACAGGAACATGTACTCGTACCTGCGGAAGGTCGTCTAGCGCAGGGCCATCATGTCCCAGTTTGGGTTTGGGGGTGTACTCGTACTCGTACTCGAGGGCATGCAAGATACCCAGCCACGTACATGCAAGAGGGCGGCGGGCTGCGCGGGTGGCCCATTTTGATGAACTGGTTAGCTCGGTATTGGACATGAGGGGACTTTACCAGAAGGGCGAAGGCTGCATGTGGCTCTTGGCGGGGACGAAAGTAACGAGTGGAATCAATTAACAGGTCGAGATCCCTTGCCTTAACGGGCATGGTGAGACCGTGTGGTGCCTGTCTGGCAAATCTCGAAACGGGCAGGGGGGGTGCGCAGGAGTGCGCGGCACCCAGTTGGGGGTGTGAGATATATGGTCTGCCAGCCAATCAATCCTTCACATTATGAGAAGTGACCTACAGGCAGGGGAGGATAATAGGTTGGCCCTGAGCTTGGACCTGTGTGGTACGTACTTTAGTACGACTACCCAGGGTACTTGAAGGGTATTATTACTAGTACTAGCTAGTCTTAGGCAGGGTGGGAATGGGGGATGGCGAGAACGAACGAACAGAAGCCAAGCCAAGCCTGGCTCGGCTGCGGGCAGGGTGGAGCCTCTGACCAGGAACAGGGATGTATGCCGACGTGGACGACGTGGATACGGATGTGAACTTGCGTTTGGCATCTGGACTTCTCCGGGCAAAGGAAGCGGCATCAGTGCTTCGACCGCCGGTATTCCTCGGCGGGATCCATGATCGACGGGGGATGGGGATGTATGGACGGCGGCGGGCTGGAACACTGGTGGACACGGACTGTGCCCTCGATGCTTGCTTGACTGAGTGAGTCTATCTTTGATGTCCAGGAGCGAGTCTGTCAGTATTTCTGGGCCGAGTGATTTACAGGGTTTGGCGTTTGGCATTTGGTGGGGTCCGGGCCCGCATCGGCTTTGGCGTCGGCGGGAGGGGGAGGAAGGACCAACCCTCGGCGCCACTGCCACGAGGAAACGAGGAAGGAACAATCAACGGAGGATGCCCAGATTCGGCCGTGAACCAAAAGGTGAGTCTGTATCTTCCTTCGACGCCCGTAAGATTACTCGTACATCGGCTCTACTCGTACTCGTACCTTTTCCGTCCTCGTACGGCTAGCGGCCAAGTGCAAGTACGACTCATATCTCGAGCCTGGCTTCTTCAAACGAGTACACGACTCGTGCTGTATATGCATCCTTCTTCCGTCCATCCCATACATAAGCGCTCCGCGGTTCTAGTCGTCGGCTGCATGCTTCTACATGTCTCAGTCGCACACACCTGCGACGACCGCCCAAAATACCTGCGAACCAACCCAACCCGCCCCCCACATTTCCCTCTGGGATCCCCCCCAACATGAGCCCAAGCCCAAGCCCAAGAGCGGGTTGGCTCTTGTATTCGTATGCCCACCGTGCGCTGCAGGGGAAAGAAACAAGCAGGGCAGCACCGACTGTCGATCGGCGAGGGAGATCGGCACGCAGTGCAGTGCTGTGCGGGGATCGATAAGAAAAGAGGGGATCGAATCCTACATGGGTACCCTTACTTCCCAGACTTGTATATCACGACGAGCCCCTCCTGCGCCTTCTCCGTTACCACCGAAGAAAACCCACCGAAGGCAAGAAGCAACAAAAAAGAAGCAAAAAAGTAAAATGTTTGGTTGTCACGCGAGCGATAACGCTCATGGAGATCGAGATTTGATCGGTCCCACTCCCTCCCCCTTGATTTCCACAAGGGGAACGGAAGTCGCGATCGTCAGTTCTTCCCAACCTCTCTTTCCCCTCGAGAACGTGCAAGCGTCTAACGCGGCGAGTACAAATATATCCTCGTTCTCGCACAATTGCTTTTCTTCTTCTGTTTACTGTTTCGGCACCAGTGTTCGCAACCGGCCTCGAAGAAAGTAAGATTAGATCTCCATTGAATTATTCCCAACCTATGTCTCGGTTGTGGGGGGTTACAGAGGGCGCCATGGTCATCCGCCATTTTTTGACGTCGTGAAGTCGTATTCTCATCGCGTCCGAGCGCCACCCAAAATGGATCGATCCGAGCAACCCGTAAGAGCACGTATGGATGAGCACACTCGTGCGCTCCCAATGGGGTGACAGATGTATGTTCCGACATGTCTGAGATTTTATTTTTCGCACCCGCCGTCATCCACAGGGCTCGAATGGTGCCATGTGGTTTTTGCTTACCACCCACCCTCCTTTTTCTCTCCTCGAGAGAGGTGACGAGACACAAGGCGGGCAGCTGGAAACCCCCCTCCTTACTTCGCGTGGTTGAATACGAGTAAGCAGAGGCCTTTTTGTTCACCTCTAGCTGCAACCACTTAACTCCAGGACGAGGGGCTGCCGCAGAGCTGACCAGGAGAGGAAGGAGGGAGGAGGTGATGAAAGGAATGAAAGGCTGCGGGATGTGTGCCCCCCCTTCCCTCTCAGTGGTGTTTAGTCTTAGTGCGTTGTCGTCCTCTCATCCACTCAACGGCTTTTTTCCCCTTTTCTCTTTTTCTTTTTGGTAATCATCCCCGGCTGCAGTAGCCGGGGTCAGGCCCCTAGGACTACGGACCTTTTCATATTTTCAACTTCCACTCCATCATACATGCATGATCTCTGCATAGTTTGGGTAAAGGACCTTACGAAGTGACACTCTCCCAATCTACTCGTAGTCCCATCGCCGTATGTTTATCCGTTCAGTATTACTGCAGTTCTCGTCAAAGAGGTTGCTTCCCCCACCCTGTCCTCATAAAGGTTACTATAGATAGAAAAAAGGCTCCGGTCACGAGTCCGCCATGTTCCATGAGTGTCACCCACACCCGATGAGACACTGACCCCCAACCTTGGTCCGTACGACGTAGAGTGGAGGCAAATTGCGCATGCAAGAGAGGGAACCGAGATGAAGGCACACACCGAAACCCACCCTACCTTCCCTAACTACATGTACTCCATAATAATACCGCGGAGTATTTTCTCCTCCTCCTCCTTCCTCGTCCCCGCGAGGGAAGCTCCAGCAACGGATTCGGTGGACAGTGCTGATCACACCCCACATATCCATGGAATGTGAGTGAGCACGATACATACATACGAGCAGGGTCGCCGAACATGAGAGCTCTAACATTGATGTTGGCATCAGATCCCGTTTGGTGTTGTATCAGGTTAAACGAAGGGGGCTCGTCTCTTAACATAATAACTTAGTTTGTTCCTGAAAACTTCGGCCTCCGCTTCCTCGGAGTATACGGTGGATATATGATCGTACCTCCCACCTAAACCTGAAGTCCGCCCAGAACCAGAAAACAATCAACGCTCGGATAGCAAAGACTCGTGGCCTTGGCTTGGGCTGCACCCTGACGTCGCCGACCCAGAATCCACAATTAACACTCGTATATATCAATCCACGCAGCCTGAACCCAGCGCCGCCCCCCACCCCCCTTCCGGGACCAGCTCGGGGCCATCTCGCGATCCTTCTCGTAGAGTCTGAAACGCGGGTTCGGTGCCGAGAGGGTAGAATTATTCCGCACTCGTAGTACCAGTCTTCTGTTTGTGATCTGAGCGGGAAGGCCAATCTTCAACGTTTGCCTCACCCGTTTTCTTCTTCTTCTCCCTTTTTTCCGTCCGGATAATACAGAATAAACTCTGAACAAAACCACCCCCTATCAGTACCAGTATACATGCCCGTTAGTTGTCTCTTTGGCGCTATCGCGAAACAGGCAAAATTCCCGGCGGTTTATTGTTTCCAATCCACTGGCCCCCAACCCCCCCGTCTATGGCAGCAGCTCCTCTGCCTTCCTCACCGCCTCAGAGGAGGGGACGGAGAGCTAACCACTGTCATCCCGATCCATGCCCATCCCTCCGATCCCGACCCCACCGCCTCAATCGAATAGGGCAAGCGCTGGTGCCTCTGGCGAACCAGGGCCCTGAACAAGTGAAACAAAAGGGGAAAAAAAGCAGGGACCAGGCAAGGAGCGCGAAATTCGTGGGCCCCACTTATTGGCTCCATGTCACCACACCTCACCACCACTCGGGCCCAGACCACCCAAGGGACAGCCAATTACAGGCTAGAATCCGGCGTGGATTAAGTGCCTGCATGTCAGTAACCAATATAGATACGCAGAGCGAACCCACAACCATCAAGAAACAAGGCGAAGTGCCAGAGTGGTTAATGGGTATGACTAGAAATCATATGGCTTCGGCCGCGTAGGTTCAAATCCTGCCTTCGTCGATATATCTTTTTGAAGAATAGTAAAGGTTTTCCATTTCTTCTCTTTTTTTTTTATCTCTTTTGTTTGAAAGCACATAATTTTATCCAGTCCCTTTCTGTTTTTATTTTTTTATTTTTTTTATTTTTACGAGGTATTGTTGAAAAGGTTACAGATCTGTGTGGTGGCGGTTCTTCTATTCTCCGGAGGGACGTATTTCTCCAAGAAACACAGGCGAAGTGCCAGAGTGGTTAATGGGTATGACTAGAAATCATATGGCTTCGGCCGCGTAGGTTCAAATCCTGCCTTCGTCGAGTTATCTTTTTTGGGGCCTTTTTTTGCTTTTTACTTCTACAAATTATAACTAGTCTTCTTCTGCTATCGGAGCAATCTAGCAACTACTTCCAAGTTTCCCCCTTTCCTGACCCCTCGGCGAACAGCCCAACTTCATCTCCAATCTCCGTCTCCGTCTCCGTCTCCGTCTCCGCCGCCTCCACCTCCACTTCCACCTCCAACTTCGAGAACGGCGTACCTGCTGATCTCCTCGGCGTGCGTGACGCCACCCTCCTCGAACCCACCCAACATCCACCAATGTCGTCCACCGGTACTTGTCCATCCCGAATTCCGAAATAGCAATATTACCACCCACCTACGAGTACATAAAATGCTCGTACTCAAGAACGTAAACCCGCCGAAAAAGAACTCCACCGCAGAGGTGGCTGCAGTACTAGCTTCTCCCCTCCCCCCCTCACCGTTTCCCTACCGCTTGGCAGCTGGGGCCGATGGCGCCTATGCGTGGTCACGCCCGTGGCGGAGGATGGCGCGAACAGGTGGGCGGTGGTGTGGTTGCGGTTGGTTTCCCATCCCACCCCAGCCATTCCTACTTACGTATAGTAGTTCAACCCCGTCCGTCCACTAGTTAGCTTCCATATATTCCCCGGTGTGTGCCTTGGTGGGTGTGATGGAAGTCCCCCGTGCCAAGGCTCTCTTTGGCTAGCTTGTCTAATAATACCCCGTGTGTAGTTTAGGCGAGACTATAATATTGGCACTTATACGCGTGAGTATTAGCACGAGTATACCTGGAGGGCGGGAACGAGAGGGGACCTGCATCGGACCTGCGCTACGCCGGAGGCGCTACGATGTGAGGGAGGGGTCGTTTTCGTTCCCTCGAACCTACTTCGTAGCTCCAAGGTCTGCCCTTGCATAGAGCGCGAGTGCGAGGAATGGAAGCTCAAGTGCCACCTAGATCCGAATGAACGCGAACACCGACCGGGTCGGCCGGGTCTGGCCCCCTCCCTCCCTCGCATGATTTGAAATCCCCAACCCCGCATCCAAGACTAGTTCGAGTTCGAGTTTGAGTTCGCGCCGTAAGTATCCCTGGTTCCTTCCTGCCCTGTCCTGACGGGAACCAGGGCTCGTCCAACTCCGGATGTGCGTGGTCTTCAGGTGGGAAGCCAAGGAAGCGTCCGAGACATCGAAAGGTCAGAGAAGAGAGCACATCTTCCATCACACCCGTCTCAGACGCCTTTTCTTTTTTTTTTTTTTTATTCATTCTTTTCTCTGCCCCCCCTCCCCGCGAGAGTATTCGTCCACCCTAAAATGGGAATGACGAATGCATGACTTCTTCGTACGTAGCATTCGCACTCGTAGTTACAGCGCGTACTCGGACGAGTAACAGGTGCCAAGGCCCGATACGGCTATGATCCGCCGTGTCAGAGAGATAGGCTTTACTTTTCCGATATCGATTGCGAGCTTGTGGCCCCGCACGAAGCGGGCCGATCGCGAAACGCCCCCTCCGCTGGACTAGCATTAATACCCGTGCTCCTTCCTTCCGACTAATAGTATTAGCACGTATTGTATTACATACAAGTACAGATAAATATCTGGGCCATCCCTGCACGGCTGAAGCTGCTCGCGCACACCCCACCACCTCCATTCCACGCTCCATTTCCATCACAGGAGTTGGCACTTACACTGCAAAGCGGGGGTTGGGGTTGGGTTACGAGTAGGTTGAGTTCAGGACTCACACTAGTAATGCGCATACTACTCGTAGTATGAGAGAGAGAATGGATCGTGAGGACGGCATCAAGCGCACAGGCACACGCGCCAGTCGATCTTAAGGTCGGTCTGCTGTAGATCCTCCAATATCCCTCTCCCAAAGCTAGTCCTTCCTCTGCTACGGATTTCTTCTTCTTTACCGTAGCACTTGACCTTTACGGGACGGAGGGTTCTCTCTGTAGCTTCTCGTGAGTCGGTTGCTGCGGGGTGTTCTGGCAATACTTGTAAGTCACGCTGCAGTGATACCTATTGACGTATCCTTTGTACTCGTACTCGTACTCGTAACTGCTGTGGCGGGGTTCAAGTCGTCAAACCGGGATAGACCTTTCCAGACTACTTGGACAGGAACAACTTCGTGATATCAAACCCCGCCCCGCACCGGGTTAATAAAGTACGAATACACTTCCCATCGCCCCCCTCTCTCCCGGATTCCAAGACACTTCGATAGCGACTCTTCCACATTACCTACAAATACTCGTACGCTCTCGCCCCTTGCCTCTTTGGGGTTTAAACCGAGGGGAGGGTGGATATGTGAACGCCAGGCGGCCATGCTATCTAGTTCGTACCCAGTCTGTCTCGGATTCGGATCCTCACCGAACATTACCAAGGCCCAAGAGTCGGGACATTCCCTCCCGTAAGTTCAAACCCGGCCGGAAAGGCAAAATATCCCGCCTTCTTTTCCCCTCAGGATCCTCATCCTAGACCATTACTTGCATGTCGTATACCGCGCGGGCCGCCTGGTAAACCCGGGGTACTACCACCCCTGCTCCTCCTCGAGAACCGTCGATCTTCGAACCCGGCTATCTACGGGGATTACTAGTAGATGTCGGATGGGGAGGGGTAAATGGGGAACGAAGGAACGGCTGAGACGCAAGACACTTCAGATTCCATGGCGTCACTAGTAAAGGATAAGAGACCCTCTTTTCTGCGTCTACCATCCACCGGCTTCCTCTTTCGCATCATTAGTGGCAGTACTCAAGTGCACGCCCCAGAGCCATGACTAGATATTCGTAGATGGCAGGAAAACGGGAAGTGCCACTTCCTAGTGTGAAGCTTCGCTCGTAATACCTCTGCACCAAGACGAGGACGACTACTTGGCGATGACGCCGCACTTTGGTCCATTGATGGGCAAACTACATATCTACCACAATCACAATTGCCACAATTGCACGGGTAAAGAATCAAGGAACTAATTACATGTATACCGCGTGGGGCAATAGGACCGTGTGGGGAGGATAACCGGGAAGAAGAAGACGACGAACAGGATGCATCAAGAACCCAAAATGCAGCGATGTAACCCTTCCTCCGGCCCCATGACTTGCCACGTTTTTTTTATTCTCTCTCCCCCCTTTCTTCATTACTCGCTATTATTATTCGTACACTATTACCCGTATTTTTAGAAGGGGCGGGGAGGGTTCGTTCCTGCAAGGCACTGGATGCAGAACGTGCATGCGTTCGTTCGTTCCGATCTTGGACCACCGCTTTCTCCGCTCTTTCCGCCTTCCTTTTTTTCTATCTTTTTTAAGGGTATTTTAAGATTTGGGGGGCTGGGGTGGAGAGGATGGGATGGGACCATGTGATGTGGCGGGTTTTTTTATCTGCAAGAGCATAGGTACGGGGTTTGTTAGTGTTGACGGTGAGTGAGTTGCTCTGCTTTTTCTCTCCCGCCATAGTCTGCGTGGAACGTCGCGATGCGTGTCTCGCATACTCGTATAAGCAGTGTACAAGTACTCGTAGTGTGTGTCAGTGGGAGGAGGAGAGGGGAGACAATACAGTGGAGGGAGGGGAAGTGGAGAAAAAGAGTGGGCATGAGTGGATCGAAACAAGCGTGGTTGGTGGCCGGGGGAAAGGATCGTGGAGCTATGGAAACGGCGGTGAGCTGCAGCGTGCAACAAGTCGATATTGTGTAAGACAAGTCCACGAGTACTTGAAAGTAAAACCCTCCCTGTCCTGACGGCTGTCACTCCTGAGACAAACGTATGAGCCATACCTTCTTCTTCTTATTCTTCTTTATTTATTTATTTATTTTTGTCTCGGCACCGTAAAGTAACCAAACATAACACGAGTAATAGAAGGAAAGAATGGAAGAAGCAACAGCAACCTGACTTACATCCTATCCGTCCGCAAAACCATTGGCCAATGCGTCGGTGAACATGGACCCCGTTTTGAACATTGATACTTGTACTTCGTCATACGTACAAGGGCCCGCTGTACCACTGAGACACCCACATCCCACAAGCATAGGGCAGCTTAGGCACGGCTGGTCCTTTCGTGACAGGAGACACGACATGTAATAAAGGTAACCGGGATCCGTAGCACAATGGGTGACACCACCTGTAAGTGCGTCGTCCGACTCAAGGCCATCACTTGTACTTGTATTGCTTTTACCAGTCTGCTGGCTCGTGGCGTACTTGTACGCGTCCTCATGCCTCGTAAAGGTACGGGAAACGACACGCCCCCTTCTTCAGAAGCCCAGAATCGAATCAATAGAAAACGGAAATATTGACGACGTATGTACTCTGTAGGTCCACTCAATATTTCGAAAACCAGCCACCCCCCTTCCCTATGTTCCCTTCCCTGCCGCCTGTAGAGATGGAAGCGGAATGAAGAGAGCATGGCTCCGTCTGTGGGTACTGCTGTGTCCAGACACTACTCCGTAATAGGGCATATTGGTACAGACTCCAGCAGCAGGACAGACACGCCCCCCCTGGGCTATACTGGCGCAGTAATATGATATCGACTGGGCTAGCAATAACTTCCTAGCGTAATAGGACCCTGAGGCTGCATGCAGAGAAAGCCCACTCTCGAGCCTACGAGTACGGACCCTTCATGCATTCCATTCCGGGCATCCAAGCACTGGAGTGCGGCTCTGGCCCCGCTGTACGTAGGTGAAAGAAAAAAACAATAACTAAATCCCCCCCCCTGGTCGTGGATCCTCCCCTCGTCCCCTTTGGACATTACAGGTAGATATGATGTGTAATATGCAAGAGGACAAGACAGCCCAGCTCACCGCTTGGTCACCCCCTTCCACTCGCATTTGATGTCCGGCCGGCCCTGGCTTGTGGAAGAAGCAAGGGGGGAGGGGGGAAGGGGAGGGCGAGACCTCCTCCGCATCGGGTGCAGCACACCGACTCGCGCTAACGAGGTTGGGGAGTGAAGGCAAAGGTGGTGAAGGTGATCAGAACGAACTTGAAGTAAACCTCCTCCTCGTTGGAAAGACGACAGGCGAGTGGCAGCGTAGAAAAGTACGGTCAAG